GTACGCCCTTCCCAATTTTGAACCATGCAGTGTTCCCTTGCTCTGTTCTGACGACTGCCTCCTGGTCCAACCTAATTTAAAATATAGTGTAAGTTTTGTATTTAAAAACCCCACAACAGCCTACTTAGGATAAACGTTTGGGGAGAAGTAATAAAAATATTTAAAATACATTTGAGCTCTAGCATTTTAAACTTTCCCCAAAAATCTGTTGAAAACTTAGTACAAAGATTTCCTTCTCAGAGTCTGTTAAATTATCAACCATCTGTTCTTTCTAAATCATAAGAGCTCAAATTTTCTTGGTTCACATTGCCCATAGTAGCTTGGTAAAAAAATTTTACAGTGTCCATTGGTGTCATGGTTGTTGTTAGGTGTTTTAGAGTTGACTTTGACCCTGTGTAGAGCATATCAAAAGCTAACCTACCACAGCATGCATAGACCAGTAACTGTTCCGTTTAAGTGGTTTCAGATCACAGCATCCACTGAAAATACCTGGCTTTCCACAGATAAGACGTTGAAAGGAATAAGAATTTTACATAAAGATTTGAACTACCTTGAGTTTATAGTTGGCGATGTCCAACTATGACTATGTCCTTGAAATATGCAGTATCTCTCAGCTCCCTTGTGTATTTGCCTCAGCACCTTATACCCCGTATCCACCACCTGCCTACAACCCCCGACGCCCCCCACCACATTCACCTTAACAGAAGGATTCAGAGTTGACTGACATTTTTGGTGGTCTCTTTTGATTGCAGGAGAAACCATACAAATGTTCTGAGTGCAGTAAGGCCTTCAGCCAGAAGCGGGGCCTAGATGAGCACAAGAGGACCCACACTGGAGAAAAGCCGTTTCAGTGTGATGTGAGTTTGGCTACCCTTTTCTTCCTCTAGTGTCTTTCCAAAGGCTCAAGTGTGTGCATGTGCATGTCTGTATAAAATAGTGCGTGTGTGTGTGTGTTTCCTAGTGCTTATGTGTACCTGTCAATTTCTTGAGCTATTTACAGATTTTGATTGCATAATCTATGTAACTGGATTCTAGTAAATTTTTTTTCATCCTTGTTTAATGGCACCAAATAAGCTCTGATTTAGTTTAAAACGTGGTTGCCCATTTTCATGAGAATGAGCTTTTTTCATAAGGTATAAGTGCATACTGATTCAGGCAAGCTTCTCATATGACTAACCAAGGCTATGGCAGGCTAATGGCAATGAGCCAATAATTTGGTCATAGATATAATTTACTTTGTTAAAGCCAAAACCCAAATTTTTATGCTATACATAAACTCTTTTGTTGCCACTTAGATCTAGATTGTCTGCTTATGACATTTTCATTGAAATAACTTTTTTTAACATCACTGTTTACATTAGCGTATCGCGATGGGAAAGTCTGCTGTTAGGGACCTCTCTAAGGTACTCAGGAGCAACAGTGTCTCTCTGGAGACTAAGGTGCGCCTGACACAGGCCATGGTATTTGCAATCGCTTGTTATGCATCAGAGAGTTGGACAATGACTAGGGAGGACAGAAGGAGAGTGGATGCTTTTGAGCTGTGGTGCTGGAGAAGAGTACTGAATGTACCATGGACTGCCAGGAAAACAAACAGATTCATCTTGGAGAGGATTAAACCAAGCTACTCCTTGGAGGCAAGGATTCTGGGGCTTCGCCTGACATACTTTGGACATGTTGCCAGGAGGGACGGGTCCTTGGAGAGGGACATCATGCTTGGGAGGGTGGAGGGACAGCGCAGGAGGGGAAGACCCTCTATGAGATGGATTGATTCGGTGACTGGGGTAATCGGGATGGGTGTGTCAAGCCGGTGCGGTTGGCGCAGGGTAGAGCAGGGTTTAGGGCTGTTGTGCATAGGGTCGCTATGAGTCGGAAACGACTCGACGGCACATAACAACAACAACCAACAACATTTACATTAGTAGCAAAATAGAAAAAGCATCATTGTCAAGAAAATTAATCTAAGAATGAAGATAAGGAAAACATATTCTTCAGTCAACAGTGTCACTACCCGGTATAATACTGGAAAATAACACTATGCTGACATAAATAATAGAGACAAAACCTACTGCTATTGTTATTATTTTTTTTATTATTATTACTGCCTGCAAGTCATACCAACACTATGTACAATAACTCTGAACCTTGATCTATTCTGAGCCAATCTTACTGTCTCCAACACACCTACCCCCATTATCCCAATCAATCCATCTCATCCAGGGTTTTTCTCTACTGTGCTGCCCCTCTACTCTTCCAAGCATGACATCCCTCTCCAAGGACTGGCCCCTCCTTGCAACATACCCAAAGTATGTCAGATGAGCATCAGAATCCTTGTCTCCAGAGAGCACCCTGGTTTCACCCTCTCCAGGAAAAACCTGTTTGTTCTCCTAGCAGTCAGTGATACATCCAGTACTCTTCTCCAGCACCACAGCTCAAAGGTATCAGTTCCCCTTCTATGATTCTTAGTCTTTGTCCAGCTTTCTGATGCACAGCGAGTAATTGCCAAGACTATGGCCTGGATCAGACACACATTAGTCTCCAGACTCACATCATTGCTCTTTAGCACTCTGGAGAGGTCCCTGACAGCAGATTTTCCCAATGTAATTTGTCTTTTGAATTACTGGCTGCTGGTACCAAGAATGTTGATTTTGGAGCCAAGCAAACTAAAGCTGTTAATAATGTCCATCTCTTTGCTGGTTTCAAATAGCCCAGTGGTGAGAATCTTTGTTCTCTTGATGTTGAGCTTAAATCCATACTTAAGGCTGCAATCTTTGACCTTCTGCAGCAAATGCCTCAGGGTCCTCCTTAATTTTGGCATACTTGCCAAGTTTGTGTCATCTGCATAAGGCAGTTTGTTGATGAGTCTTCCTCCAATCCTGATGCCACATTCCTCCTCATAAATCAGTGGAGTGAAAATTATAAGATGTTAATGCATGTAACTGATAAGTAGAGAAATGTCGTACAGTTTATAGAAATATTGTTGTTATGTGCCATCAAGTCACTTGCAACTCATAACAACCCTTTGTAAAGTAGCCCTGAAACCTGCTCTATCCTGTGCCAAACTTATTGTCTCTGAACAGACCTACCCCTATTACCATAGTCACTGAATCAGTCCATCTCATCAAGAGTCTTTCTTTCCTGCTCTTTCCCTCCACCTTCCAATCATGATAAGGACAGTCTCTGCTGGCAACATGCCCAAAGTATGTGAGAAAGTGCTTCAAAATTCTTTCAGCATATTTCTGGCACAAAAATAGGGGAAGTGAGGTAGAGGCATTTGAATGTGGTGTGGTGAGTTAAGAGTTCTACTGCTAACTAAAAGCTAAGTGATTAGACTAGGTTAGACTCCTCTAGCTCTCGATGGGAGAAGGTTAGAGCAGTGTGCTACTGCACAGATTTACAGCCTTAGAAACTTTATGGGATAGTTCTGCTCTGTCCTGCATGCTCACTGTGAGTCAAAATCAACTTACGGATTCACTCTCTCATTCCTGCTGAGTCAGAACCAATTCCTCTTTGACCCTCAAGGGTTTCCCTAAGCTGTAAAACACTTGGAAAGTGATTTCCCATCTTTCTCTCATGGAGTAACTGGTAGATTTGAATCACCAGACAGGCTCAGTCTTTTGATTAGCAACACAACTCCCCTTGGACTATGGCAGCAGAGCTCCCTAACTTGACTGCAGTGAATTGGAATTGTAACATCAAAGTTGTGCTATATAAAACTAGCACAAAATTCTCTTTGTATGTTAAGAGAAACCCAGTTCCATCAACATGCCCCAGTCGGTAAAGCATGGGGCAAGACATATGCCGTCGAAACTCACAAACACAAAATGCTTTCCTTGTCTGGTGCTAAGGTTAAAGCAACAGCGAGTCTTATTCATAAAAATACCCATATGCACAATGAACTTCTACTAAGGAAAGAACTACTTTTAGAGGAAGAAATATACACACATACAACTTTATCCTGAATCGAAACAAGAGCCTCAGCTTCATAATTTCAATATCTTTTTAATGGAAGCATTTTCATGGGGGGAAAAATTACATTTTTATCATTTTACAACTAAACAAATAATTGATAAAGGCAATAAATTCAGTATTATCTGTGTACAAATGTATTCTTTTCAGCAAATGTAACTCTTTATCAGCCTGGATATTATTATTAAATACTTTATAAGGTCAATTGAACCATAATTATTTTTGTGGGAATTGTATTACCCTAAACATAAATTTTTCTATCAATGTTTACCTCATTTACTTGAATTTTTAGACCTTTATCAGACTGCTTTATTATTGAATAGAAATCCACATTTATAAATGTCCTTACAATTTCACAAAAAGAGAACAGCCAAAGTTCAAGGTGAATGTAGAACAGAGCATGGAATGAGAGATATCACACTGATGTTAAGTGGATCCTCACTGAAAGCAGAGATTACTAGAAGAATGTCTATTTGTGGTTTATAGTCTATGCAATGGCATTTGACTGTGTAGAGCATAAGGAATTGAAGGTATCATTGAGAAGAATGGAATTCCAGAACACGTAATTGTGGTTAAGCAAAACCTGTACCAAGATCAAGAAGCTGTTGTCTGAACAGAGCAAGTGAACACTGCATGGATTAAACTCAAGAAAGATGTGTATCAGGGCTGTATCCTTTCTCTATACCTATTCAATATAGATTACATCTTAAGATCAAGAAAACAAAGGTCTTCACTACAGGAACACAGTCAGCATTATTATAGATGGAAAATGGATTGAAGCTGTCATTGATTTCGTGTTTGGATCAACACTCAGCATACTTTGTACCCACATTCAGGAAATCAGGAGACATATTGTGTTAGACAAGTCTTCTGTCAGGGACCTCTTCAAAATGCTGAAGAACAGTGATGTCAGTTTGAAGACTAAGGTGTGCCTAATTCAGACCATGGTCGTCTCAGCGACAAGCTATGCATCACAGAGTTGAACAATGAATAAGATGACAGAAACATTGAACCGTGCCTATGAATTGTGATGAGAAGAAGATTGCGGAATATTTCATGAACTGCCAAAAGAACAAACAATCTTGGAGAAAGTATAACCAGAGTGCTCCTTGGAGACAAAGATGGCAAAGCATCATCTTTCATACTTTGGACATGTAACTAGATGAGGCTATTCCTTGGAAAGGGACATCATGTTTAGAAAGAAACATAGAGGATCAGAGAAGGAAAGGACAAAACCCAGCATGATGAATTGGCATTGTGACTTCAGCAATGGGTTCTAGTTTGTCAGCGGTGGTGAGAATAGCACATGATAGTGCAGGGTTCAGGTCAGCTGTTCATAGGGTCTTTATGATTCAGACTTGACTGGACAGCACCTAACAACAACAACAACAGTAATTCAATCTGTAGGCTAAATAAATCATTCAAGAAGCTGAACTCTATGAAGAAAAATTCAGATGACACAACCTTACTTGGTGAAAGTTAGGAAGACTTGAAGCACTTACTACAGAAAATCAGTTACTACAACATTTAGAATACTACAACATCAAGAAAACAATAATTTTTACTACTGGTCCAATAAATAACATCATCTTGGAGAAAAGATAGAGCTTGTCAACAATTTCATCTCACTTTTTTCCATAATTGACAGCCTTATTACCATCAATCAGGAGATCTGGTGTTGTATTGTCTTGGGAACGTCTGCAGTCAAGGGCCTCTCCAAATTACTGAAGAACATTGATGTCAGCTTGAAGACTAAGGTGCCTCTGATTCAGGCACAGTCTTTTCAGTCATTTCCTATCCATCTGAAAGCCAGACACTGAATAAGGATGACAGGAAGATAATTAATGCCTCTGTGCTGTGGTATTGGAGAAGCTTACAGTTATCTCATGGA